AGCGACTCTGTCGTCTCATCTATGTCTAGTTTGTAAGAGAAAGATTGATAGCGCAGAAAAATCCGCCAATAATGTAAAACAGTGGCGTGAAATTGTCAGTCATTCTAATATCTCCCAACCTGTGAACGAAAGGGTTAAGCGTGCTGCCTTGAAATCGCCTGCCAAAACTAAAATGGCGCGTGTCACGCGACTTTGTTTACTAAAGATAGCGTGGGCGTTTGATTGACACTCAACTCATTAGTATTCCACCAATCACAGCTACATCTACTTTCTGGATGTGCGCAGTCAAATTGTATAGGAGACAAGCTGGAGTCTCGTGTGGCGATAGCGATAACACCGGGACGAATGGTCTGGGGTAAAGTATGCTGGGCAGACAGCAACAGGGTCAGTCAACCCATGAGCTATGCTCATTCATTTTCGGAGCTAAAAATAAATTTGATCTATTGTACATACATGTCAGGTTTGCCAATGAACAAAAAAAATGCAATTCTTTTTGCAATTTGAGAAAATACTACTAACTGTCAATCTCATTTACATATCCCTTAATTTCTTCCTCTCTCTCTTCTTCCTCTCTCTCTTCTTCTCTCTCTTCCTCTCTCTCTTCCTCTCTCTCTTCCTCTCTTTCTTCCTCCTCCTCTGAGTTGGATTCTTCATCCCAATCATCGCCACGGAGATCAAATTGTTGTTCTTTGTCATACTGCAAAGCATCTAGGGCCTCTTTAGCTTCTTTCTGCTCAACTTCACGATGCTTATGGTATCTGTCACGTTTCTTCTATTGAGATATAAAATATATGCATGTACTTATGTAATTGACGCATCTATTGCCTAAACATGTCATATTTTAATGATTCAGCAATTTTGTTGATGTGACCAAAATGTTGCATACATTGTATTTCACCCACATAGTACGTGTCCAGGGGACCCACACCGTACGTGTCCAGGGGACCCACACCGTACGTGTCCAGGGGACACACATCGTACGTGTCCAGGGGACACACATCGTACGTGTCCAGGGGACACACATCGTACGTGTCCAGGGGACACACATCGTACGTGTCCAGGGGACTCGCATCGTGCATGTCCAGGGGACACACATCGTACGTGTCCAGGGGACTCGCATCGTGCATGTCCAGGGGACTCGCATCATACGTATCCAGGGGACTCGCATCATACGTATCCAGGGGACTCGCATCATACGTATCCAGGGGACTCACATCGTACATGTCCAGGGGACACACATCGTACATGTCCAGGGGACACACATCGTACGTGTCCAGGGGACACACATCGTACGTGTCCAGGGGACTCGCATCGTGCATGTCCAGGGGACTCGCATCATACGTATCCAGGGGACTCACATCGTACATGTCCAGGGGACCCGCATCGTACATGTCCAGGGGACCCACATCGTACATGTCCAGGGGACTCACATCGTACATGTCCAGGGGACTCACATCGTACATGTCCAGGGGACCCACATCGTACATGTCCAGGGGACTCGCATCGTACATGTCCAGGGGACCCGCATCGTACATGTCCAGGGGACCCGCATCGTACATGTCCAGGGGACTCACAATGATTCAGCAATTTTGTTGATGTGACCAAAATGTTGCATACATTGTATTTCACCCACATCGTACGTGTCCAGGGGACCCACACCGTACGTGTCCAGGGGACCCACACCGTACGTGTCCAGGGGACCCACACCGTACGTGTCCAGGGGACCCACACCGTACGTGTCCAGGGGACCCACACCGTACGTGTCCAGGGGACCCACACCGTACGTGTCCAGGGGACCCACACCGTACATGTCCAGGGGACCCACACCGTACATGTCCAGGGGACCCACACCGTACATGTCCAGGGGACCCACACCGTACATGTCCAGGGGACCCACACCGTACATGTCCAGGGGACCCACACCGTACATGTCCAGGGGACACGCACCGTACATGTCCAGGGGACTCGCATCGTGCATATCTAGGGGACCCACACCGTACGTGTCCAGGGGACCCACACCGTACGTGTCCAGGGGACCCACACCGTACGTGTCCAGGGGACCCACACCGTACGTGTCCAGGGGACCCACACCGTACGTGTCCAGGGGACCCACACCGTACGTGTCCAGGGGACCCACACCGTACATGTCCAGGGGACTCGCATCGTGCATGTCCAGGGGACTCGCATCGTGCATGTCCAGGGGACTCGCATCGTGCATGTCCAGGGGACTCGCATCGTGCATGTCCAGGGGACTCGCATCGTGCATGTCCAGGGGACTCGCATCGTGCATGTCCAGGGGACTCGCATCGTGCATGTCCAGGGGACTCGCATCATACGTATCCAGGGGACCCGCATCGTACATGTCCAGGGGACCCGCATCGTACATGTCCAGGGGACCCGCATCGTACATGTCCAGGGGACTCACATCGTACATGTCCAGGGGACTCACATCGTACATGTCCAGGGGACCCGCATCGTACATGTCCAGGGGACCCACACCGTACATGTCCAGGGGACCCACACCGTACATGTCCAGGGGACCCACACCGTACATGTCCAGGGGACCCACACCGTACATGTCCAGGGGACCCACACCGTACATGTCCAGGGGACCCACACCGTACGTGTCCAGGGGACACACACTGTACATGTCCAGGGGACACACATCGTTGAAAAGTTACTATATTTAAACACATACATGTATACACAATCATTAAAATATTACTTATTTTGACCAAAGCAAATAATTACTTTAAAATTTAAATAATTTTCACTGAAAAGACTTCTTGGACATTTTTGTATGGAGTTTAATTTCACTGATATCCTCCCATTCAGTGGAAATAAATTTCAAGTAAGAATAAAGTTTTTTACAGTAATACTTTTTGGTACGAGGGATAGTTTACAAATTGAGACTACCGGCACACTGTCACCAACCAATGATGTTTTGCACATAAAATGTTATCACAAGGTCAGCCTACAACAATGACTCACTCAGAGCTGTGATAAATAATGAAAACTGTCTTCACAGAGAGACTGTATAACAATATCACAGTCACAGAATGCTTTGTACTGAAAGGAAATAATGACATGCAACAGGAAACACTGACGACTACGGGTAAACATCAATTCTTTTATTTCCTGAGTAGGCCATTGCTTCATTCTAGGAGAGTACTAATGGTATACATATGTACATGCTCTATGTGTAGAGAGATAAGAAGACAATTACTTAAAATAATCCAGTATACTAGATTCATTTTTAGTTATGTGTGCTTCTATTCGAACAAAATAAATTGTTCTTTAATAAATCATATTTCATCTTATTTACCTCCATAACCATGACAACTATTTTGAATTCTTTGCAAGTGATTTATATTTGGTTCCTCTAATTATTTGCATAAATAAAACAAGCAGCCTCTCGGCTGAGATAGCTCCGCTGTTAGCAATGCACATTTTAATTAAAGAACAGAAGATATCATTAGAAAATGAACAATATGTATAGTATCAAAGCAATGGGACTTGCTGTTTTCAACAAGAATTTAAAAATATCACTTTTCACCAAAAATGACAAAAACAATCATCAAAATTACATAATTGAAGATATCACCACGAAATTAACAAATCTGAAAGAGGTTCACATGTAGTACCTATATATGTAATATCAAAGCAATTGGACTTGTGGTTTTTAACAAGAAGTCGAAAATAACACTTTTTACCAAAAATGACAAAAATATTCACCAAAATTAGAGAATTAAAGATATCATTACAAAATGAACAAATCTGAAAGAGGTCCACATGTAGTACCTATATATGTAATATCAAAGCAATCAGACTTGTGGTTTTTAACAAGAAGTCGAAAATATCACTTTTTACCAAAAATGACAAAAATATTCACCAAAATTAGAGAATTAAAGATATCATTACAAAATGAACAAATCTGAGAGAGGTCCACATGTAGTACCTATATATGTAATATCAAAGCAATTAGACTTGCGGTTTTTAACAAGAAGTCGAAAATATCACTTTTTACTAAAAATGACAAAAATATTCACCAAAATTAGAGAATTGAAGATATCATTACAAAATGAACAAATCTGAGAGAGGTCTACCCAAGGTACATATACACCAAGTATCAAAGCATTCAGGCTTATAGTTTTCAAGAAGAAGTCAAAAAAGTAAAACATTGACACGGACGACGACGGACAATCACTCGTATGATAAGCTCGGCTCGACAAAGTTGACAGCGGAGCTAAAAACCTGTTTTTACTTATTTCATGTGCAGCATTTGACCTATTAAATTAGAGTGAAAAAGTTATCACTCCTTCTGTTGTGTTTCTTGATTTAGACACAAGTCATTTAAGAATTTGTTTTCCTGGTATAATATATTTTTCTAGGAGAGAAACTGAATTCTGAAATGGGTCTTTAGAAATTAAAAATCATACCACACAAACAAAATTTTGAATTGTGGCATAAGATTTTTACCATATAAACTAATGATAAATTGTTCCAAATTGCCCATTTTTATTCAAAAACTAGTTTAGTGACCATACTTTTTATCTAGATTTTGTGAACGGAATAAAATAAAGTCATATGGTAAAAGTCAAGTTTTAATGGTAGCCAACTACCTTTGCTAATAAGGTTCCAACAAATCAACTACTGGTAATGTGAATTTGTAGCCATGGTAACAGTTATTCCAATGCAAATTTATCATGTTGACTATTTCTTAATATAATGGGTAAGACATTTTCATGGAAAAAAAATGTTGGTTGGAAGATACAAGATGATGAGAGTATACAATTTGTACATACAAGGAATTGAAGTAATCTGGCAAATTGCGAGAAAATCACAGAACAAATGTATATTTCTAGAAAAACTGTATGCAAATGAGTTGAAACTGGTTTGTTCATCTCAGGCTGTTTACGCAAGTATCCTTGATTATTCTTTTTTAAAATTTCCAGGCATTCACAACATTCTGTGATGCCATTTGGTTTAAAGTATGTTTGACTAATGTGGTTCTCGCACTCTTCAATGCATATCACCAAACATTGAGTGCCAGTCCCTTATAAATCCTTGATAGTAATAATAAATTGATTTATACATGACTGTGCCAGCCAGACAACAGTCTCAGTGTTAACTGTGGAGTTAAAACGGAGGAAATTCTTTGAGAGATTCTGACAAAAGAGTAAATATACTTTAAAGGTCTATGACAATAAACTATAATGGGAACTGGTCTAGACAGTTTGATAAATTCGTCCCCCTCCCAACAGTTACAATTGGTGACAGTTGAGCTACCAGTAGCTGACCCGCTAACTGAGACCGGCTACTCGAACTAATGAGAAACACAGATGTTGGTCTTACAGTTATACATAAGGCAGCGGGTCTGCATAACTTAGCAAGATACGTGGCGGGCGTGAACAGTCGAAACCTTGGCCATTTTGTTATCCAAGGCTAGGTCATGGCATAAAACAACAAAGTAAAAATGTCAATACCCGGACAGAAATTGTCTTTCAGAGAACGGCAAAAGAATATATAAACTAAAAATCAACAGATTATTTCCCAGGCAAGTTGCAGACTAATTTTATGAAATTCGATCTGTAATCAGTCAGTAACGTCTCAACGAATTTATAGATGATGCCAAGGCATATTCAAGGCAGTAATTCAAAACATACAATTTGACATTTTTGGTGAATCCAGACACCTATTTACATGCGAAATATAGTGATCCACATTCGAGAACTAGTCTAGGAAAACTCAAGTCGGTTTATCCATGGAACTCCATGGTTTATTTTTTACCTCCATGGTTTATCCAAAGTTTTGAGTCCATGGCCAAATCTTGAGAAAAGTTACCTACCTTAGCCAAAGCCAAATCCACACACATCAGACATACTACGAGGACAATTACAGATAACACACGCATCTTGAACTTCTGTCACAATCCACAAAACTGAGTAAAAGCGACAAAGATCTGGGCGAAAAACTGATGACGTGTCGGTGAAATGGGATATCCAACTTCTCCGTGCAAGGAAGAAAGACTGGAAGAAAATTCTACCAAGACCCCGGCGGCGAAGTCTTTGTATATAAGACCCTTTAACTTACTAGAAATAGAATTAATCTTCTTAAAACTGTCTTGCACGCATTGCTCAATCTTCTAATATTACTAGAGACATTCTCCGTTTAATGACAGTTTTATTTCGTGTATAAACAAATGTATGAAAACATAAGATAACAAATTTAAACTTCTATGATATGATTAAATTCTTCCTGCTAGGGAGTCACAAACTTTTTTTTAAGTACCGGAATGCGTGATCGGGAGCGCTCATTTTGCCAAATAGGGGTTTTCAAGTAAACATTAATGATTTCAAGAATACCACGTATGCATTTAGACTAAAACTAAAGACATGAAGAAGAAAACTATTTTTAAAAGTGTATCTATTTGATTCATTTAAAACAGAAATGCATTAACGTTACACCCACAACAGTTTTAAAGATGCGTACCCCACATTAGAATGAACTGGGTTAATGACAGAATCCGATCTGTTGACATCGAAATTCCATTATCCATTCTTTGTCCTGCTTCGGTATTAGAACTTTCCACTCGAAAGAAAACTCGACTTTTACTAATGTTACGTACACAGAACAACCCAGACAGTATTCGTTTCAGACACCATGCATGGGGTTTGCTAAATTCAGTTTGGTTCAGTTAACCGACAGTTCACCTTACTGTGTATATGTGCACTACTGTCTGGACATCTCGCGTTATCACAGACCTTCACAACCCACCTGATCAGACATCAGCAGAGCTAGTTTACAAATACAATCTATTTATTATTACTACCTTCACTTCGCGGTGATTGGCTTTCGCAGTAAGTGAAATTGCAATACAACTAATTCAAATTGAAAGAAATTGCAATATAAAATATTACATCAGTGATATTTCTCAAAGGCGTATAATGTCAAACATATACACACTACATCACTCATAACTTAATACCGGTAAACAAAATGACGAAGAATTACAAACAGATTAATTTATAATTGTTTTGTGTAATGCCAAGAATGATTCTATTGAAATTCCATTAAAAATCACATGTACTACAATATGAGTTTTGATTAGAGACAGAATTTTTTTAGCATGAGCGTGGTAGTTATAGTAAATTGTAAAACAGTAATACACACCATGTCCTGCTGTCCTCCTAGCTGTTCCTAAGGATGTAGAAGCAGCAGCGTCGTCTACTCGTCGGTTCATTACAGTGTCTCAGTAATCGTATGCCTGGTAAAAGAAGAGAAAATATGCATTGACTATTATGTAATACATGATAAATAAAAAAATACAATATGGAATACTAGTAGATGGGATAACTAAGTTCCAAGACTAAATATTGTTCGACCAGATTACATTTTGTAATATTAGTGGAAAACATAATATATTAGAATTTTGTATACTTTACGTATAGATTACCATCATGATGCAAGACATGTTTTGTTTTAATTTCCATGATTTA